CCCCCCCCCCCCCCCCCCCCCCCCCCCGATGTTCCCCACACACCACCCCCATGTGTTGCCAGAGCGGCGGGCTTCCCAGCTGCACAGCCAGGACTGCACAGCACAGCAGGAGCCGGCTGACTCCTACTGTGGTGGTGATCCTCTTCCCGCACTCCCCTTTCCTGCTCCACCCATCTGATTCTCCAGTTTTGGACAGAGGGAGGTGTGAAACAGCCCCAGGGTCTCAGGCCAGAAGCCTCTGGCAGGCAGAAGCTTCCAGTTTTGAGCTGGGCATCAGGTGGGGGGCAGGCAGGCCCTGCTGCTGCTGGGTCCTGCCGCTGGAGCCTCCTGGGTCATCTTTGACAGGCAGCCAGGGCAGATAAATATTACTTGTCTAATTTTTGGGGGGCTCTGGGGGTCATATTTTGCCCACCCCTGCTCTGCTGTTTTGGTACCATGTCTATAAGGCTACTCTGGCCTTTTTCCATAACAGGTCATGTTTATGTTGTTTGGACCTAGTTCAAGGCCCTGGACTACTATAGAGACTTTTTATATTACAATAAAAGTTCTGTTAACTGGTATCTTAGAAGCCAGCATGGTCAATTAACTGGCATGCCGGCTTGTAAGATAAAGTGAAACCGGAAGTGCCCACCGTAGCACTTCTGGTATCTCTGAGCCCCCAGGGCAAAGCAGCCTGTGATGTTGAGCTCCCACGGCCCAGGGGGCATAACAGGCTGTGCGGGGCCCGCCTCCCTGTCCCATGGGGCCTGCAGGGCCCGCAGGAGGGGCGGTGATGTGGCGGGAGGGGCAGTGGGACGCCCCAGACATGGCGGGAGAAGTGGTGATCTGGGCCACTCAATTAACCGGCATATTTTATTATCCAGCATCCCCCATTCCCAGGGGATGCTGGATAACACAGCTTTTACTGTAATATAAAAATTGAACCATTTCTACCTGCACAAAAACTAGTTAGAACACACTATTTTGTGGAAGCTAGTTAAAATGTAATTGGTTAGATTGGGTCCTGGTGAAAACTAGAGGTGCGCTGATACATTGGTCTGATCTCGGATCGGCACCAATATAAAGAAAAATGTCTGTATTAGAAATCGGCCATATCAGGCCAATAATTTGGCTGATAAATGGCCCGTGCACACGCGCATCCGTAGCACAGCACAGGCAGTGAGGAGCACAGCTGGTAGCTGGTAAGTCTGGTGTGGTAGAAGAGGCGGGGCGGGGGAAGGGAAGGAGCATGGGTGGGGCAGATCAAGGCCCCTGTGCTGAGGAAGGAGTGGGGCTGGGGCAATCACTGCCCAGCTGGGATGGGGTGGGCTTGGGACAAAGCTGCGGATTGGCGGTGCGGGGAGGGAGGCGTCAGCACGCACCGCTGATCCAGCGGCTCGTCTGGTGCTTGCCTGCACATCTGGCAGTTCCTGCCGCTCAGATCTGCCCAGGGCAGGCTGGGGCAGGGGATACACCAAGCTCTTCCTGGCTGGACTGGGCTCAGGCTGGGCGACCATGGCTCTGGGAATTGGGCGGGGGGAGTAGGCGGGGTTGCAGCCACCCTAGAATTTGCTGTAGTCCCCTCCCAGGACCATCACCATCTGGCCTGAGCGCAGCTGGGAAAAGTTTGGCGCAGCCCCAGTCCACTCTGCACGGATCCGGAGGATTTCCCCCCCCAGTGCTGTCCCAGATGCGTGGTGAGAGCCACCAGGTGAGCGCCAGATGAGCCACTGGACGAGCGGCGCGCAGTGGCAGGGGCCACCCCCCGGGC